AACCAAACCAAAAAACAAATCCACCAATGATAACAAGTGCTAAAAACTATGCTAAAAAAAAAAAAAAAATGGACACACAGAACCCAGGACAAATGGTAAAAACAAAGCTATACAGACAAAATCACAGACAGAAGTATACGCATACACCCCCACAAAAAGAGAAAAGGGGGAAAAATACATATATCATTTCTCCCAAAGTCCATCTTCTCAATTTGGAATGATTTGTTGTCTATTCAGGTATTCCACAGATGCAGGGTATATCAAGTTGAATGTGGAGGTTTAAGAGGCTGCTGGGAGAAATTTCCCTTTCTCTTCTTTGTTCACACAGTTCCTGGGGTTCAGCCTTGGATTTGGACCTGCCTCTGCGTGTAGGTCGCCTGAGGGCATTTGTTCTTCGCTCAGATAGGACGGCGTTAAAGGAGCAGCTGATTCGGGAGCTGTGGCTCACTCAAGCCGGGGGGAGGGAGGGGTACGCAATGTTGGGCGAGCCTGCGGCAGCAGAGGCCGGCATGATGTTGCATCAGCCCGAGGCGTGCTGTGTGTTCTCCCGGGGAAGTTGTCCTTGGATCACGGGACCCTGGCAGTGGCAGGCTGCACAGGCTCCCGGGAGGGGAGGTGTGGATAGTGACCTGTGCTTGCACACAGGCTTCTTGGTGGCTGCAGCAGCTGCCTTAGCGTCTCATGCCCGTCTCTGGGGTCCGCGCTTTTAGCCGCGGCTCGTGCCTGTCTCTGGAGCTCCTTTAAGCAGCGCTCTTAATCCCCTCTCCTCATGCACCAGGAAACAAAGAGGAAAGAAAAAGTCTCTTGCCTCTTCAGCAGGTGCAGACTTTTCCCGCACTCCCTCCCTGCTAGCTGTGGCGCACTAGCCCCCTTCAGGCTGTCTTCACGCCGCCAACCCCAATCCTCTCCCTGGGATCCAACCGAAGCTCGAGCCTCAGCTCCCAGCCCCCGTCCATCCTGACGGGTGAGCAGACAAGCCTCTCGGGCTGGTGAGTGCCGGTCAGCACCGATCCTCTGTGCAGGAATCTCTCTGCTTTGCCCTCAGCACCCCTGTTGCTGCATTGTCCTCCATGGCTCTGAAGCTTCCCCCTCCGCCACCCTCATTCTCTGCCCACGAAGGGGCTTCCTAGTGTGTGGAAACTTTCCCTGCTTCACAGCTCCCTCCCAGTGGTGCCAGTGCCGTCCCTATTCTTTTGTCTCTGTTTTTTCTTTTTTCTTTTTCCCTACCCACGTACGTGGGGAGTTTCCTGCCTTTTGGGAGGTCTGAGGTCTTCTGCCACCGTTCAGTAGGTGTTCTGTAGGAGTTGTTCCACGTGTAGATGTATTTCTGATTTATCTGTGGGGAGGAAGGTGACCTCCGCGTCTTACTCTTCTGCCATCTTGAAGCTCTTCTCCTCATTCTCCTTACGTATATTCTGCCACTGCCTTCTGGACTGCAGAGTTTCCTTTGAAAAATCGGTTGATAACCTATGGGGATTCCTTTGTGTGTTATTTTTTGTTTTTCCCTTTCTGCTTTTAATAGTTTTTCTTTGAATTTAATTTTTGTTAGTTTGATTAGCATGTGTCTTGGTGTGTTTTTCCTAGGGTTTATTCTGTATGGAACTCTCTGTGCTTCCTGGACTTGGGTGACTATTTCCTTTCCCATGTTAGGGAAGTTTTCAACTATAATCTCTTCAAATATTTTCTCAGACCCTTTCTTTTTCTCTTCTTCTTCTGGGACCCCTCCAGTTTGAATGTTCGTGCATCTAGTGCTACTCCAGAGGTCTCTGAGATTGTCCTCAATTCTTTTCATCCTTTTTTCTTTATTCTGCTCCTTGCAGGTATTTCCATCATTTTGTCTTCCAGCTCACTTATCCGTTCTTCTGCCTCAGTTATTCTGCTGTTGATTCCTTCTAGTGTATTTTTCATTTCAGTCATTGTGTTGTTCATCTCTGTTTGTTTGTTCTTTAGTTCTTCTAGATCTTGTTAAACATTTCTTGTATTTTCTCAATCTGTGCCTCCATTCTATTTCCAAGATTCTGGATCATCTTTACTGTCATTGCTCTGAATTCTTTTTTAGGTAGATTGCCTTTTTTCTCTTCATTTATTTGGTCTTGTAGGTTTTTACCTTGCTCCTTCATCTGTGACATCCTTTTTTCTGTCTCTTTTTTTTTGTTATGAGTGGGATTTTGTTCCTGTCTTACTGATTGTTTGGCCTGAGGCTTCCAACAGTGGAGTTTGTAGGCTATTGTGTAGAGCTAAGTTTTGGTGCTGAGATGAGGAACTTTGTGAGACCTCATTCTGATGACTATTCCCTGGGGTCTGAGGTTCTCTGTTTGTCCAGTGGTTCGGACTCGGACCTCCCACCGCAGGAGCTTCAGCCTGACCCCCGGCTTGTGAACTAAGGTCCTGCAAGTTGTGTGGGATGGCCAAAAAAAAAAAAATAGAATAACAAAGTAAAAAAAATTTAGATTAGGAAACTGACAGATATGTTAGAAAGAATATAAAAATAAAAATAGAGATGAATCAACAACCGGAAGGTACATCAGTACCACAATAGTAAAAAAGAGGAGGAGGGAAAAGAAAAATAAATAAATAAAGGAAAAGGCCTTGGCTGTGGAGGGCAGGGCCTAAGCAAGGGCAAGGTTTGGGCGGTGGGTAGGGCCAATGCTCAGGACCCACAGGGCTGGAAAAGGCCCTGGGGGCTGTGGAGGGTGGGGCTTAGGCTCAAGGAACATAAGGGGCCCAGGTGTGCCCCCCATCCCTGGTCTCAGAGAGCAGGGGACCTCACCTGGGAGGCCAGCAGACTTCCTGGGCCTCAGTGAGTGGGGCAGATGCCCTCCTCTCCTCTCCTGCTCCTCCGGTCTGGGAGGGCTCCTCCTGCCTACCTCTCCTGATCTCCCCAGCCTCCCTCCTATGCCCCCAGTGGTGGGGGGCAGCCTTGGAGTGCAGGGAACCGGCCTAGGAGCTCAGCAGGCTCCCCAGGCCCGAGTTGCCAGGACAATTGCCCTCCGCACCTCTCCCACTCCTCCCAGATGCCTCCTCCCACCTGCCTCTCCTGATCTCCCCAGCCTCCTTCTTATGGCCCCAGGACCCACGTGGCCTTGATGGGGCTTTGGAGAGGGGGTACCGGCTTGGGAGCTCAGCAGGCTCCCTGGAGGGCCAGGTGATCGCCCTCCACTCCTCTCCTGCTCTTCCTGGAGAGTCCCTCCTGCCTGCCTCTCCTGATCTCCCTGGCCTCAGGGGCACCGATCCTGTCTGGCCTCCACTTCTGCTCCCTCCTCAGTCCCCCCACATCCTACTGGTTCACTTGGGGGTTCCTCCCATCTCCTTGGGCGTCAGAGTCCCCCACTGGTGGCTGGCAGGTGCCCTAATCGTGGGGAGATGCTAACTCCGCGTCTTCCCACACCGCCATCTTCATTCTATCACTTTTGTTTCTGTGGAGAGAGGAAAAAGAAATTGCAATTTGTAAAAACCCTTTGAAGAACATTTTGATCATGATCGTAACCAATACATCCTTGAAAATCATTTCTAATTATATTAATTTCTCCTACATACCAGAAATTGGGTTCAACATAAGAAATATGTTGACACAAAAGTTTCCAAAAAATTTAAGAGCCTCAAGAAAGGAAACTTGAGCACTTCTGTTGGCTTGGTTCTTAGTGGATTGTGTGCTGTCATAAGGGCCAGGACCATGTCTGTTTTATTCGTCACCTTATCCCCAGCTTCTAGCACAGTACTTGGCAGGTAGTAGCTGCTCCATCAATACCTATTGGCTGAGGAAATAATGAAATCCTGGTCTCTGAAGGAGTTACATAGAGGTTAGGACCACCTGGTGGAGATAGTATTGAAACAGTCATGAGTTAGGCAGCTAATGGGGCCTGATGATGCTTATGGTGTCTTCTTACTTTGATTCTATAATTCCTTATTCTACGATAAGTTGAAAAAAACCTCACCATTTACATAGCCTTAAAAAAATGACCATGATAATATAATCAGTTACGCTGACTCAGAGTCACACACACAAAGTTTTTTTTTTTTAATTAATTATTTTTTTGTTGCATTGGGTCTTGCTGTGTGTGGGCTTTATCTAGTTGCAGCGAGTGGGGACTACTCTTTGTTGCAGTGCACAGGCTTCTTGTTGTGGTGGCTTCCCTTGTTGCAGAGCACAGGCTCTAGGCGCATGAGCTTCAGTAGTTGTGGCACGTGGGCTCAGTAGTTGTGGTGCACGCGCTTAGTTGCTCCGTGGCATGTGGGATCTTCCCGGGCCAGGGCTTGAACCCACGTCCCCTGCGTTGGAAGGCAGATTCTTAACCACTGCACCACCAGGGAAGTCCACAAACTGTTAACTGAAGGTTCATCTCAGCCTGGGCTGGAGCTAAGGATGGGGAGCATGGGGACACCTGACAGCTGATTTTTTTTTTAAGTTAGTTTATATATTTAAAAGAATTTATTTATTTACTTTTGGCTGAACTGGCTCTTTGGTGTGGCACACAGGCTTCTCTGGTTGCGGTATGTGGGCTTAGTTGCGGCGAAATGTGGGATCTTAGTTCCCCAACCAGGGATCGAACCTGGGCTCCCCCTGCATTGGGAGCGTGGAGTCTTAACCACTGGACCACCAGGGAAGTCCCTGACAGCTGATATTTTGCAAGTGCTTGTCTGGAACCAGTATTGCCTTAACAATGTTCACAGTGACGGTCATTCTCAAAGGCCCTCGGGGGTTGAACTCTCCATAATTTTCAAGATACTTGCTCTGACTTTTATATATATTTTTACGTATGTTTATTTTGATCCTATGATCTATTTTTTTAAAATTTCTTGAGTTAGAATTATCTTTCAACCGCCCCCCCCCCCCCCCCCCCGCCACCCAATCATGAAAAAGCATTACATTATTGCCTGGGTTTAAAAATCTTGTATTATATTTGAAACCATAGCAACTTCTGGACAGGGTTTAATTTCAGAGTTTTTGTGGGTACATTTGCTGTATTTTGTATTTCTTGTTGTGTTTCCCTTTCTTACAGCTGGTCTTGGAAGAACAGGGACCTTGATAGCCTGTTATGTCATGAAACATTACAGGTTTACACACGCGGAAATAATTGCTTGGATCAGAATATGCCGGCCCGGCTCTATTATAGGACCCCAGCAGCACTTCCTGGAAGAGTAAGTATAGTGTCTCCATTATCACATGATGTTCTTGTTCCTGATTATTTCTGCCGCTTGTTCCCTGGTTGTGGACTATGTCAAGCCCGTGGTTGTGAAATGGCTGCATTGTTAGAGAAGGCTGTACCTCTAATGGAACGTTGTTGATTTGACAGCTAATGCATTCTAACTTTGTACCTTTTATATTTCTTAGATCAGGTGAGAGTGAGGAGAAAATCACAGAGCCGTCTCTGCCTACCTTTTTTCTGTCATTTTCTATGTGTGATCTGGCTACAGTGCAATTTTCTTATGTCAGCCCACTTGGCACTTTTCATTCTTTTTTTTTGTTTGCACATCTAAAAGCAGAATGAGAAAAAACACACTACAGAGGTCAGTCCAGGATTTCGATGACATTGCCGCTCCTTTGACAACTAACTAAGCTGCTCATGTAGCTGCAGCTTATGAGTTACCAAGGAAGAAATAAAGAAGACTGGGTTTTAGTCCTGGCTATACCACTAACTAGCTTTATGACCATTATTTAGAAGAATACTTATAAATTCCTTCTTTCATCTGTTCACGTACTCATTCATTAACTGTTTGTCAAACCCCAGCCGGCAAGGCGGAGAGGTTTAACCTGTAAGAGTACAATCCTTTCTGATTTCCCCTTAAAATTTCCGAAATTACCATTAATTTACCCATTAAGAAAATGAAGAGATGAAATTAGCACTAGCTGATTCAGGTCTAGCTCTAAAATCAATTGGTGATGTCTTATACTGAAATTTCATTTTTTCTTTTTATTCTGGTGTGGATCTATACGGAATAGCATTCTTTTCCAGATAATTCCTTTCCCATTTAAATCATTTTATGTCGGTGAGAAACAAATGATCATGAATTTCATAGAAAGATGCTGTAAGCAAGCTTTAAGCATCTGAAATGGATAAAAGGATTTGAAATAGCCTACTGAGCAGTTACTTTAATTGCCAATCCCAGAGGGAATAAGTGATAGGAGAAGACATGCTGAAACATGTGCAGTTATACCTTAGCTTAAAAGAATGAGGTGGAAGTGTAATGAATACACAAGGAAAAAATACCCAAGAACAGGATCATTAAGAAGACAAGTTCCTAGGTTTTTGGCCTGTGAGATACAAATAAAATAATTATATTATTTTAGAGCTTTCTTCTTGTCAGATTCTCTGCCAGAGGTTTCCATTATTTTGCATTATGTGTGCCTACAGCATGGGACTTTGTGCTGTGTATCTGCCAGGGGCTTGTTGTACTAATTACTTACTAAAGTTGGATAAATGGCCTTAGGGTTAGAAAACAAAAAAACATTCCTAAACCTGGATCTTTCAGCCATCTCTTAAAATCATTGTTTGGCAGAATGTTCATTCATTAGGTACCTACCGAATACTCACCTTGCCCCCGGCTCTCTGCTAGGCACAGTTCACAAGGTGAGGAGATTTTCCTGAGAACGCCACTGGTCAAATTCACCTAGATGCCTCAGGCCGCCAGATGCCACAACCTTCCCACTTCATGCCTGCATACTCCTCCTTCCTACTCCCTACTCTGCCTTCTCTCTCTGCCATGTCTCAAAATAATAACAGAAGAAATTAGGGTTATGAGGCAAAGGCATTCTAAGTTGAAGACTTTTTCATTTATAGATACTTAAGCGGCAAAACTTAGGTTATTTACTTAGGTGTGAGTCAATACTGTAGTTTTCTACTATCTGTGAATCTGAGGTGCAGGAATGACTTCCTTATATAACGAGATATTAAAATCAGTTATTACTAATGTTTAGGTCAGAACCTTCCTGAAGGCAGGTTCTCGATCTGAGGCACTATATCTTCTATATTTTGCAGTATTTCCTATAGAGCCATTTCTATGGAGAAATGTCTGCATTACTCATGGGCTTTCACAGGCTTTTCTGATTGCCTCCTTCTACGTATTGGTCTATGGCCTAATTTACTTTATGCCTCTAAGTGGCACCAGACGTAGTATTTTGCTTTACTTAATTGTGTACACTTATTTTGTTTTCTCCTTCTCTCCTATTTTCCTTATTCAAGACTATGTGTTTTGCAAATATTTTCTCCCATTCTGAGGGCTGTCTTTTCATGCTTTGCGATGACCTAGAGGGGTGGGATAAGGAGGGTGGGAGGGAGGCTCAAGAGGGAGGGGATATGGGGATATATGTATGCATATGGCTGATTTGTTGTACAACAGAAACTAACACAGTATTGTGAAGCAATTATACTCCAATAAAGATTACAAAAAGCCCAGCTCACTAAAAAAATAAAAAGAGACTATGTCCTGATGTACCTCATGGCAGAAGACATACTTTACTGTGTTAGTGACATTCATTCTTTCAACAGATGTATGTCAGGTGCACACTCTCTGCCAGGCAATGCTCCTGATCCTGGGGCTGCAACAGTGAATGCAACAGACGAGGTCCTTTCCTCCCAGGGTGTCAGTATCTCTAGTGGAAGGAACACACAATAAACAAGTGTATAAGTTTATATACAAGATGATTTCTGACAGGGACATGACAATAGAGGCCAGCAGCAGGGGAGGGGGATGACTGGTGGGGGAAAGCCGTTCTGGTTGGTGTGAAATAGTATCTTAATTTGTATTTTCCTGATGACTCATGATCTTGAACACCTTTTATATATGTATCTCCTTTGTGAGGTGTTTGGACCAAGTCTTTACCCAGTAAAAATTTTTTTCTGTGGTAGTTCTTTATTTTTTAATTAAAAATATTTGTTGAAGTTAATATAAAACCATTATTTTTCACAGTACTATATACAGAGCTGATGTTGTTATTCTACAAATTATTTAATATTAGGAAAAGCAGTTAAGGTTGTATCTGGCAGCTTTACAAGAGCACTTCTGCTTTTCAGTGAGATTTTTTTTTTTTAATTGAGGCATGATGGACATAAAACATTATATTAGTTTCAGGTGTACAACATAATGATTCAATATTTGTATATATATTTTAGATATGAGTTCTTTGTCAGATGTATGTGCTGTATGTTTTTTAATGAGCAAAATTAAAAATTTTGCTGAAACTGATTTTTAAAAATTAACTTCTTATCCTGCAACCTTACTATTTTCATTCATTAGTTCTGGTAATTTTTTTTTTTTCCTTTTTTCTCGTTGCTAAGATTTCCATTACAGTGTTAGTTAGAAGTGGTGAAAATGGACATCCTTGTCTTGTTCTCAGTCTTAGGGGGAAGGCATTCAGTCTTTCATCGTTAAGTATGACGTTAGCTGTGGGGTTTTCATAGATGACCTTTATCTGAATGAGGAAATTACCTTCTCTTTTTAGTTTGAGAATTTTTATTAATAATGGGTTTTGAATTTTGTCAGTTTTTTTCTACATTTATCAAGTTAATCATAATCTTCTAATGTGAATTACATTGATTTTTGAATGTGGAGCTATGATGTGCATGATGTGCTATTATTTTTTCATATGGCTGGATTCAATATGCTAATATTTGTTAAGGATTTCTGTATCTGTATTCATGAAGGACATTGGTATGTAATTTTCTTTTCTTTAATACTTTGGTTAAGTTTTGGTATCAGGGTTATGCTGGCTTCATAAAACAAGTTGTGAAGCATTTCCTTTTCTATTTTCTACAAAGAATCTATGTATAAGACAATATTGGATTTGAGGGTGTGGGATGGGAAATTAGGGGATAAGAGAGTCATTTGGAAATAAGGGCCTGGTTGATGTTGGATTACCTGGAAGTGTTGATCGTCTGGTGTGACAAAGGTAGACCAGGATGTGAGACATGATGGGTTTTGTTCTGAAAAGCTTTTAGAGCCAGGTGGGTCATCAGTAGAGGCCAGAGGGTACGAGTCCTCTGATGACTTTCTACCTAGCAACTTCTGGGGTGTGGTAACCAAGGGGATGAGGGACCACTTGCTTAGGTGGGTAGCAGAGGAGCATGAGGCACCAAGGTAGTCTCCGCTCCTCTGCAGAGCGGTGCTGTGGTCTGCTGGAGGAGGTGCTGGGTCACAGGGAGCCTGGGGGACTCTGGTGGTCAAGCACTTCTGTTCAGTTCCTTCCCTGACTTTTTCTAACCATCCTTCTGGGCAAGGTTATTTAACATGCCTTTCTCTAACCATTCCAAACATGACCTCAAGCCTTCTTCCAAGCTACGTTTTATGCCAGTAGTGATTTTTCTCTTACCTTTCTCATGTTGCTCCTATTAGCTGATAAAAGTTTACTTCCTCTGTTACATATAAACCGTGAGAGGGAAAGGGTTCATTTATGGTTCTACTTTCTTTTAACAAGCTCCTAATGATAAAACTTTAAAATAATTTTCCATCTTGAACATTACTGTTACAATTTTCTGTTGGTTTTAAGTTTTTTTCAGTGGTCTTTAATATACCTGTCCATATCATTCTTGTCCCAGATTGCAGGGATGCCTCCTTTTCTCCCTCATTTCCTGCCTTCCTTCCTTCAACGACTATTTGTTGAAAGCCACTGGTAGGCAGTGTTCTTTGCACCTGGTAAGCTGCAGTGAAAGAGTAATTTCTGACCTATAGAGATGGAAGAAAAAGAAAGAGGACGAGGAGAGGGGGAAGGGGGAGGGGAGGAAGAAGAAGGTGGGGGAGGGTTGATTGGTTGTGTGGTTAATAAAAAAATGCATAAATTATATAGTTTCTCTGACCATGATTGGTGTGATGCAGAAAAATGAAGCACAGAAGAACAGGAGAAGGAAGAGAAGGCAGTTTTAAATAGCGTGGTAGTGGTGGGGCTCATTGAAGACTTTTGAGCAAAGATCTCGAAGAACTGATAGAATAAATCGTGGGTGTTTTGGAGAAGAGGGTTTTCCTCTGAGGGAACAGCTGCTGAGGCTCTGAGTGGGAATGTGTCTGAGGCCACCATGGCTGATAGGGAGAGCAAGGGAGATGAGGCCAAGAGGAAAAAGTCAGATCAGGCATCCTTCTAGGCCTTTGTAGGAGTTTGGCTTTTCTTTGCATGAGATGAAAAGTCAGCAGAGGGTTTTGAGCAGAGG